GATAACTTTCCTTGCCCTGCCTAAATTTGCATTTCTAAATGCTTAACTGAAGTTTTTAAGTTATTGCAATGCTAGAAATTTGGGGACTGAAGGACAAAGTCATTTATGGGTCAAAATTCGTATTTAGGATGGCAATGCCCTCATCTTGCCCCCTTCTCTGTATTGTATACACTCTGTATTGTATATCATATAGCTACACATGTATTGTATATTCAGAAATGAGACAAATTAACTATGAAAATCTCTCCCCTGGTGATAGTAACAATGTATGCTTTGTTTTGTTGCTTTTGTGAGAAAAATATTAACATTCAGCAATGCTCACAGGAAGATTTCAGCGAATTGTCATATGTGCCATTTACTAACCATTCACCTGAAGAATGTGGGTCTGATACAATTCTTCATAGCCATAGGCATGACACGTGTACTTGCCCATGTGAATAGTTGTTACCTTGGTGATGTAGAGAGAATCATCATCTCCAAAATCCTGTAAAGTAGCAAAAGACAAACGAGGGTGAGAAGAAAAGAAGGCTTATCATTTAGCAATTTTGTTTTAAATGCTACAAAAGCCTAAGCTAATGCTTTAGTTGTTTTGACAGTTGCTTGGCTTTCAGCTGAGCTGGAATATAGACAGCTGTAGTGTTGGTTTCCATTCATTTTGGAAGAGCAGTGACTAAGAGATTGCTTGCAATACTGCATAAATGGGATAAACAACTCAGGGAAAATCTGGAAAAGTTCTTCCCACATAAAATGACTGAATATTTGGCAAGTTAAATTATAAGAGGAACTGCTTTGGGAGTGTTTATTTTAATCTATGAGGACTTCTAATGAAAGCTCTATGGTCTTCTTAATAAATGAAAAATTTAAACTGGCTTTCAGTTATCCCAAAAATGCCTTTGCCAATTTTTGTTGTTGGTCTGAAAAACCCAGTGGGCTTTCTCACTTTTGCAAACAAGACAAACCAAGCCACAATTCTTACTCTTCCCTACATGTATTACTATGTAATTTGGAATAATAATTATGCCAGAATAGCAAAAAATATTTCCTAGGTTTCAAAATGGGGATATTTTGGCATGGTGGTCTGTCTATTTAGTTATTTCAATTAATACAACACAAGCCCACATATTGATGAATCCACAGAGGCAGACACTTCTCTTCTGTATTCATTAGCAGTGGGACTCTACTGTGCCAAATTATATCTAACCCATAAAGGACATACATTTATAAACCATACCTAATTAGCTGAAAGAATGATTTTTTTACCCTAATTAGCCCAATGAATGGCACATGAAAAATAAAAACCTTTATATACACAACTTTAGGGCTTGAATGGAACTCATCTCCAATTATAAAATGATGCATAAACTATCAAGTTCAAAATGACCACAAATCTGAGGTCAAACATATTCAACTCCTTTCTCTCAAGAAAGGTATTCAGAATCTCCAGATCTAAAATACAGAACCATAGAATTTAACAACTGAAATGCAGCTTGAAGGTCTTCCAGTTCCACACATCCCTTGCTCAGTGGTGGACTCTTGCAGCCAAGAGCAGCAGCTGAGGCTCTCTTGATGCCTGAGATGGGAAGTGCTACTGTTACTCCTTTGCCATCACTCCTTTCAAAAACCTGTCCTTCATTGAGAGTAATGCTGGCACACAAAGCAGCTAATTTTGTTTCCCACAGAACCAAATGGTCATCTCGGAGCGCTTCTTCATCAGTCAGACATGGTGGGTGGAATGCTATCAGAGATCTCTAGTTTCACTCAATTTCAGCAGTGTGAAAGTTCCTCCATGTTTGCACTGGGGGAAAAAAATCTGCAAGAAGTGTGTGCCTTGTTTTAGAAGTGAATAATGCTTCTGGAAACTTTCTAGAAAGGGCATGCTTCCCATTTTGGGAGTCAACTAAAAGAAAATGTTATCCCTCCTCCTTACTTGTGTTTGCTGTCCCATTACTAAATTTCAGCTATGTATAGCCTGTGTACACAGCTTGTGTACACAGCTGAATACAAAGAAATTGTGAAATTGGCCCCATATCCCACTGACACCCCACTCTGAGCTGGGTGAAATTTCCATGCAATTTACACCAGTTACTTTTAGTTCTTTCTTCTGGAGCAACTGAACACAACCCTGTTCAAAATCTAGCATGAAAGGCATTAAGATATTTGAAAGCAAATATTATGACTCCACTTAAATATTCTCTTCTACAGCTTAAACATGCTCAGCCCTGAACAATTGCTCATAAGAGTTTATCCCTGCCCCCTAACTCCATTCACAGTTTTTTTCCCCTTTGGGCATATCATGATATTATTATTATTATTATTATTATTATTATTATTATTATTATTATTACAAACAATCAGGGCAGCTACCAAGCCTATGCTAGAAAATAGGGATATGCAAGAATTTTTTCATTTGAACTTCTTTTGCTCTAATTACCTATCTATCTGCCTGCCTACCTACCCATCATTGCCTAGGTAGTGACAACAAAACAACAATTATCTATTCCATTTCTTTCCAGAGTTCCCAAAATGGCCCATCATTTCAGAATATGCTGGTAGACAGTGGAGTGCCCACAAAGAAAGTTGAACATTGCTTTTCTCTTCCTGTACCACCACCATGGCTGCTATTTCTCCCTGGAATGTCCCAGAGTGATTCAATGCTATTCCAGGAAAATAAAATGGTAGCTGCTAAAATCAGCACTGCTTTCTCCAGAGAATGAGAAGTCTGCACTCACAAACGATGGATAATGAATGGACACAAATGGGATACAGGGACAGGTATTCATATTCATTGTTACTTATTGCATCTCTTTTGGAACAAACAACAGTGGAACTAAATATGCTCCACACTGTTCAATTTTTCATTCGTTCCAAAACAAATGTATGCGCCTACCAAAGAGAGATAGAGAGAGAACATAATGGAGAGGTAAATGTGTGACAAAAGGCCAGTCTTGCTTGCTAATTCAGATATTTTCTTCCTTGGCTGATAAAAGGTGGTAGGCTCTACTGGAGTATTGCAGTGCTACAGGTGGAGTCCTCTTGGAGAGTTTTTTTTTCTTGGCATGATTCTCCATTAAACCACCCCGAGAAACAGCTGGGAAGAACTCAAAACAGCAGCTGGGTGCAGAAGAGAAAGCTGTCTCCATTGACAGATGAAGGTGCCCTTTTTGATCCCAAGCAGCTTGGAAGGCAGGAGGGCAGTCTTCTCAGCATACATATGTTCCTACACTGCCACACCATGATCTTGGCACCTATGGTCATTTTACCTCTGCTACCTTCCCTAACTGTGTTGCTGTTTCCATCTACCTATTATACTGCTCAAAATGGATTTGGCTTATGAATTTAAATTGCCATGTGTCTTGTTCACATTTCACCTCAGCTTTGAACTCATTAAGCATCATTACATATGCTACTGTTTCCTTGTCCTGAGCCGGTTATTTGTATAAAAGAGTTATAACATTACAGCTATCTTATAAGATTGTTACACGAGACACACCAATAATGTTACTGAAGTACTATGGATAAATAGTAAGAAATTAGTAATGAAGGATGGTAGTGGCTCCTGCAAGATGACCCCTCAAGATAGTTTCCAAGGTAATGCTCTAAATTGGGAAATATAAAATAGGACTAATATCAGCAAAAACCTGCACAAACATTAAAAACAGCATTAGCAGTAAAAACCATAAACTAAAAATGTGTATCCATTAATTAAAAAGCCCCATTCTTCAGGCCTGTTTAAAGCCTGTTGAGACATGTGTGCATCCTGAGGTAGGACATTCCAAAAAGGCAAGGCTACCACATTCTGGGATCCTGAACAGACTTGTCTGTGGTACTATTTGATGTTTTAAAAAGTCATTTGTATGTACGTGTGTGTATATGCATGTATATGACTTCAACACAATCAAACAGCACATCTAACAGGTTTGTTCTGGATCCCAGAAGGATGCATTTAATTACTAAAATACGTATTTATTAGAACAATTAACAAGCAGAATTTAATAAATAGATTAGTAAGACATTTTAGCTTCTGCCTTCTTCAGTTTCTAAAAACAAACATAAGTTGTATCCAAGAAGGAAGTTTAGAGCATTCTATTTCCAACATTGTTAAGTGGATGTTGGTGTTATATATTATCCTCTAGTGTGAAACCATGAAGTGTTAAGATGATGAGTTTGTCAATCCAAAACGCTTCTTTACATCCCAAATACTTAGATGTATCTTCCTTGATATACAGAATTCAAATTGGTTCCTTTTTTAACAAACTAAACACTGACAGAATATTGTACCATAGCAAGCTTTTGAGCTGAACCACACTCTTCTTGGAATAACCATGGAAAGCAGCTTCGATTGAAGTACTGGTGTTATCTGATTTTGTTGTGTTTTGATGCATTGTAGCTGAGATTAAATTCAGATCAATAAAAACTAGAAGGCTACTTTTATGGGATGATTTATAAAAGAGATGAAGAAAAACAAAGCAGTAAAAATCCTCTGTCATTCATGTGTTCCTTCCTAATAGACATTCCTGATTAATGTTATGAACACTTGGTTAGTCCTCTAAAATTGTCTTTTTTTATAGATGCTCTATTACACTCTGAAAGATGCAAGCTCTTTTTGTTTTACTGTTTTTCTCAACATACTATAGAGAAGCTTTTCCATTAACACCATAAATGTATGATGTTTAAGTTCTATTTTAAAAAAAAATTTTTTTTTTGCAGTTAATGCAGCAGGTTATTTACCTTAATTATTATATTTGCTAGAATGTGCATCTGTAAAGAGAGAACAAAAGGAAAGTTTGTGTGGTGTAGTGATTATAGTGTTAGACCTGGGGTTGGATGTTCCACTTTCTAGTGCCTATTGTTTTTTGTGTGTCTTCAGGTCCTTTCATGGCAACCCTAAGGTGAACCTATCATGGGGTTTTCTTGATAAGATTTGTTCAGAGGTGGTTTGCCATTGCCTTTCCATGGGGCTGAGAGCATGTGACTTGTCCAAGTTCAACCTGTGGGTTTCATGGCCAAGCTGGGAATCTAACCCTGGTTTCTAGAGTTGTAGTCCAACTCTCAAACCACTATGGTACACAAGCTCATTCAGCCACTCTCCCTCAGTCTATACTACCTGACAGGATTCTTATGGGGGCAAACCAGGGAAGAGGAGAGCCATGTATATGGCCTTGCCCTTACAAGAGCAAAGGGAGGAAGCCATAAGGAGTGGATTAGGGAGCCAGGTATGTTTAGCCCAGAGAAGAGAAGGTTAAGAGGTGACATGATAGCCCTGTTTAAATATTTTGAAGGGATGCCATATTGAGAATGGAGCAAACTTGTTTTCTGCTGTTCCAGAGAAAAGACACAGAGCACTGGATTCAAACTACAAGAAAACAGATTCCACCTAAACATTAGGAATAACTTCCTAATGATAAGAACTGTTCAACAGTGGAATATGCCACCTCAGAGAGTGGTGGAGTCTCCTTCTTTGAAGGTTTTGAAACAGAGTCTGGATAACCATCTATTGAGAGTGCTTTGTTTGTATCTTTCTACATGGCAGGGGATTGGACTGGAAGGATCTTGTGGTTTCTTCCAACTCTTTGGGGCTATATACATAACATAAATATGTAGGATTTAAAGAAATTAAATCTACTGTTTGAAATGTGAGTATTGCATAAGCCAGCCCTAGTCAGAATTTTGTGCAAAAAAATTCCTCCCATGTGCCCTTGTTGCCCAACCCTCAGCCCTCTAGTCATGGAAGCTATACCATGGGTAGCAGGAAGTCTCCTCTGCTAGGACAGGCTCTCTAGGCAACTTGCTGCATGGCAATTTAATTACACAGCATTCTATAAGTGGGCCTACACGTATAGAAAAAGCCCTCTAATGTAATGAATAGAGTGTCAGTATGGTGGATGATGTGTGTTGCAGTAGTTTTACCATTCAGCAGAGCTGACAGGAAAAGCTGACTTTTCTCTTGCATGCCTCCAGACTTTTTCCCATCTGGAGCTTGATGATACTGCCTCAGCTCTCCAGCTTTACCAGCAGTCAGAAAACACTCCAGTTGTAAGCAAATAAAATGAAGCTTTATTGCTACAACTAAAATAAGCTATTTACAATCCTTAGATGTTTACAAACAATCCTTTGCAACACACCACACAGTCATTTACCAGATGAACCTCCCCGCTCCCTCTCTTAACCACAATGCAATACACAGACAAAGGATTTTGTCTCCCCCCCAAGCTACCACGCACTTGGGCGTGTCCTTCTAGTTAATTGGATGAACTCAACTTTCCCAGACTTTCAGTCCATCCCCTGTTGTTGATGTCATTGTCCATGTGGCCTGCCATGTTGTCATTGTGTGTTTTGGTCAGTACATTTCCTTTCCCAAAACACCCTGTTGTTTTTCTCTTCTCCGGTCTTCTGTTTATGTCTAGAGAGACATCTGTTGTTTGTCTGGTCCAACTTCCCTTCCAATCCCTTCCTACAGGAAAGTTCTTCATACATCTTATACATTTCCATGAATGACTCTATATCCCATCTAGCAAATCCTGACATAGGCCCTAAGCAGACGACTAATAAAGTCGTCTTCTGGGCAGAGAAGAGGAGGGGCAGCCGCACGAGCGGCGCCCCTTCCTCTCCCCGAGGTCGCCCCCAGATGCGCCGGCCGTCCGCACGACCGGCGCATTGGGGATGACCTCACGGCGCAGCGCCCACATGCGCTGCGCCGTTTGAGCCACGGAAAGTGCGCCCGCCGCTTTTGGGGCGCACTTTCCCTTAGATCTAAAAGGAGCGCCAATTTGGTGCTCCTTTTAGATGCGCCGACGGTGCGCCGCGGTGCGGAGGCTCCGCACCGCCGGCACTCCGTCCGGCGGCGGCTCCAGGGCCTCCGTGTGCTGAGGCCCATAGAGAGGCTAAGGGAATAGATGATGAGGAGGTAAATAAAATAAATGCAAAATAACCACAGGTCCTTGCCTGCATGCATTATTAATTATACAGCACAGGGCTTGAGGAAAGCAGGTTTAGTCTAGATCCAGCCAATTAGGAATCCAGAGAGCCCTATGTCCTTTGAACAGATGTCAGAACCCTACTCGTGTTCTCTGGGGAAGAAACTCCTGTTATCTTTCAATGAGCTGTGATTTCCACTCAAAATCCTAGCGTTTCTCCTGGCATTTTTTCCACAGGCACTTTTAAAACCAGAAGAAGAGTTACACTGAATGAGACCAAGGGCTTATCCAGTCCAGTATTCTCTTCACACAGTATCCAATGAGGATTGGAAAAAAAATATTCACAGTTATTAATTTCCTTGCCAAAATAATGGGTTTCTTCCCACTTGGGAAGCATGGTTGAGAAGAATAACTGAGTGGAATTTTTTGCTGTTTTCATCTGTTATTCACACAAGTGTTTTAGGAAATCATTCTGCATAGTAATATATTCTGGGAATGCTTGCCGGAAGAGATCCATCTTGATGGCTTTTTAAAAGCCATCTAAGTTGGTTATCTGACAGATCTCCTCTGGCAGGGCATTCCACAGTCTAGGAGCAGTGGTAGAGAAAATCCTCTGGGAGGTTGCTGCCAACCTAGTTCTTATTGGTTGAAGCAACTTCCTCCCAGAGGACCTGAGGGAACGGGACAGATTATATGGAGATAGGCGACTCCTTAAGTAAGATGGGCCATGGCCATGTGGGGCTTTAAAGGTTAATACCAACACCTTATACTGTGCCCGGAAACTAA